TGGCCATTTTAGTGGTTTTTTGGCGGTCAAGGATGCACCAACTGGCCTGTATGCGCTGTATAGTCCCTTCAGAGCTTTACTCTGGTTCCCCCAGTTGCCCAGTAGCGGGCCTTGTTAAGAAACAGCTTATCACTAAGATGAATTCTGGTCTTTCAGCTCTACAATGGCCATGAGTTTGCTTGACTACTGTTTATACTATTTACTTTTTGCCAGTTAGCGTGTAAGCATACTGGGGCTCCACATCAAGAAGAAATCACTTTTGATATAAAGGAAGGTATTTTTTGGGTTTGCAACATAATTTCTTAAGAAGTTACACTCGCATTGTTTAAAGGGTTAATTTCAACAAAGCTTTCCATAATTTTTTAAAACAATTAAAAACAACCTTAACGAATCTTTTAGCAAAAATGCATTTTTGCTTATGAAACTTAGCAATTATTATGCTTAGGAAATTTGAAGACATTTAGAAACTACACCATAAGAAAATAATCACTACCAGAGAATAACCGCTCTTACCATTTTGTTTTTTTTTTTTTTTTTTGTGTTTTTTGTTGTTTTTTCTGAGACGTTTTTTTTTCTCGGCTCTGTCGGCCCAGGCTGGAGTGCCAGTGGCGCCAATCTCGGTCTCGACTGCAAGCCTCCACCTCCCGGCATTCACGCCAATTTCTCCTGCCTCAGCCTCGCCGAGTAGCTGGGACTACAGGCGCGCCGCCACGGCGCCCGGGCTAATTTTTTGTAGTTTTTCGTGAGAGACGGGTGGTTCACCGTGATTGACCAGGATTGCGTCTCGATCTCCTGACCTCGTGCATCCTCCCAACCTCGCCCTCCAAAGTTTTGCGGATTGTACAGGGCCGTGAGCCACAGCGCGTCCGGCCACCATTTTGGTTGTATTTTCTTTAACCTTAAAAAAAAAAGTGGTAGTGTATAATTTACTTAACTGTTTTTCTGTTTGTAGATCTTAGATGTTTTTTAAATTATATCATTATGTATAAATGCATCATGTAATAAGTATCTTGTTAAATATACAGAAGATTCTTGGTACAGTTTTTGGATAGTTCATTGTAGGATTAAATCTGTGTGTTATCTTTGATTTTTGTAGAGTGGTGAATTGAGGTAGACGGTCTATAATAAAGATGGAAGAGAGAAGCCAGAAGTTACTCAGGTGCTAATGAAGACTGAATCCAGTAATATGTTCAATAAGGGGAATTGAACCTTATTCAATTGAATTAAGTCCAACTGAAGCCAATTAGAACCAGATAATTACGACAAATTCCCAAATAAGGGTTGAATTCTCATCTCAATATGGTTCTTTTTTTTTTTTTTTTTTTTTTGAGACGGAGTCGTCGCGTGCTGTCACCCAGGCTGGGAGTGCAGTGGCCGTATCGTCAGCCTCACTGCAAGGCTCCGCCCTTCCCGGCGGCCGCCATGTCTCCGTGCGCGCGCTCGGAGTAGCTGCGGACTACAGGCGGCCTGCCACCTCGCCCGCTACAGTTTTTTGTATTTTTAGTAGAACGGGGTTTCACTATTGTTAGCCCAGGATGTCTCGATCTCCTGCACCTCGTGATCCGCCCCATCTCGCTCTCGGCCTCCCAAAGTGCTGGGATTACAGGCTCAAATAGGTTCTTAAAGAGAGGTCTAAGACCAGGTGTGGTGGCTTATGCCTGTAATCCTAGTGCTTTGGGAGGCTAACGAAGGAAGATGACCTGAAGCCAGGAGTTTGAGACTAGACTGGACAGTAGTGAGATCTTGCCTCTACAAAAAAATTTAAAAAATTGACTTGGTGAGGTGACTCATACATGTAGTCTCAGTTGCTGGAAGCTGAAGTGGAAGGATGACTCACTGAGCCCAGGAGTTTGAGGCTGAAGTGAACTGTAATCAGGCCACTGCACTCCAGCCTGGAAAACAGAATGAGACCCTGTCTCTTAAAGAGAGTAAGGTCTTTAAAATTAAAATAAAGATACTGTTGGCCCGCGGTCTGGTGGTGCTCAAAGCCTGTATCCCCACCACTTTGGGAGGGCCAAGGGCGGGGCGGATGCAGTCTTGAGGTCAGGAGTTTTGAGACCAGCTCGGCCAACATGGTGAAAACCCATCCTCTACTAAAATAACCAATAATTGCAAGGGGCGGCCGGTGGCATGCATCTGTAAATCCCACAGCACTCAAGAAGGCTGAGGGCAGAAACGCTTGAACCCCAGAAGCCAGAGGCTGCATGCAGCCTAGGGATCATGCCACTGTCCACACTCCCGACTGGGTGAAAGAGCAAGACTCCATCTCAAAAAAAAAAAAAAAGATTCTGGCAAAACATATACCTAATAAGATTTAAAGTCAAAATAAAGAATTTTTTGGGTAAAATTCAAGTTTTACCAACCAGTCGGGCCTAAAGCAATCACCTTAACATTATATAATGGGGCAAGAGCTTAAGAGTCTTCATTAGCTGCTGTTGAATGGCTAATACACATAGTCAACATCTGTTTCCATTA